AGTAATTATGAATCCAATAAAATAAATTACGAGAACGAAAATGAGTGCGCGCGTGTGTGTACACCTGAAGTTAGTACGCGTCCTTTGGTTTCCCTAGCCTGTTTGCCAATTTCTGGACGCCCTTTGTAACTCCTCTCCTCATTTGTAACGGGCAATTATCCCCACATGTATATATGGTCACTAATCACTATTAATCTAGATTATGACCCTAACAGGGCATCCTTATTAATTATCAATTATTATATCATTTTTAAAATTTAAATGTCAATATGATTTGATATATATGACCTGCCTTAGGCTACAATCGACGTGCATACTTCAATGGTTTGCTCATTTTCACTAGATTTTGACATGTTTTTACTGATAATTGTCTATGAATCATATGATAATGAGCATCTAAAAAATGCACAAGCAACGACAGAATTGGCTTCTCTCTATTTTTCTTCTCTCCATTTCTCACCTCAATCATTACACTTTTGGATTGTTGAGATTAAATGTTTCATAAAATTAATTTTTATTTTTTCATAAATTTAATGTTTTAATAATAATTTTAAAATAAAAAATTAATTTTATGAAACATTAAATCTTAATCATTTGAAAAAAATTTAGTGGTTGAAATAAGAAATAGAGGGGAAGTGAAGAGAGTGGGAAGTGGAGAGAAGCTAGTTCCAACAAAAACAATGGTTTAAGATTACATTCAATGCACGGATTGCGATTGATATATTATTTTTTCTATTTTAAATTATAAGACACTTTCAAATAAAATCTCACATATCAATAAATTTTATTAAATACACTTAATAACCTTATCTTTTCAAAATAAAAATATAAATTTTTAAAAATACTCATCATTTAATATATTAAAAAGAGAAATGACTGAAATTAATTATAAAAAGAGAAATCATAATATTAAAATTGATATATTTAATAAAATTTATTTAAGGTGTTTTATATTTAAAATAAATTTTTTTTTATAAAATTGTGATATAATTTAAGACGGAAGTAATAGTTCGTACAACTGTATCCGAATGTATCCATCAAAATTGGCCACGTTGGGGAACGCGCGTGTCTCGTGATATTTCTTTTCTTTTCTGTTTTTTTTAACTGAGTCTCGTGATATTTCACTAGTAAACTTTAGAGCTCGTAAAAACTTTTAAATAAATACAAAATCCTTTAATTATTTTAACAGTCTTCTTAATCCAAATTTTTCTTTTACAGTGAAAAGAAAATCTGACATTTAACTATTGGATAATAGAGAAATCTGCTCAGTCCTCTAATAAGTGACAACTAAAAAAATCTATTCGAGAACAAGCCTTCAGTTTGTTCAAGGCTGTGGACATCATCACTGGTGCATGAGCAATGAGGAGCAATGACTGACACCAGTGGAATAATCAAGTGAAATTTGATATATATATATATATATATATATCTTGATGTGAGTATTAAATTAAAATCAGGCACAGCGAAGGATTTTCATATTCGTTTTTTTTTTAGCACAGAACAGCTAGGAAAAACACTCGGTACGGTCACGATCGGCTCATCCCATTAGAATTATCAACTCCCATGCATGATTCAGCATTAATTCCATAGACAACGGCTCTCGGGATTTTGAGACCCTTGATACATACATTTACACATGTTTCAACCCAATTAATTAAGTGAGAAGTAAATTTGGTCAAGTATATAATATTTTCACACACACACCACAAACTTCCTAATCTCGCTGTAAATCATGAAAGTATTGTAAGGGAAAAAGTGCACCTCGCGCTTGCATTGCTTGTATAAATCATGAAAGTATATCTTGCAGTAAAGAATGATAATTCACGGGGCAAACAACCACTAATTCACTTGAATCTAGTTTCTCCATATAAATTTCTGCGAATTCTGTGAAAAAACGCCAAAAGAAATGAAAGAAAAAATAAATACGAACTACCATGATACAAACAAGGAGAAAGGAAGGAAGAACGGGCTATTATTTGGGTTTTTGCTGCAAATGATGAAGATCATCGGAGGATATATTGGCTTTCTTTTGGAGATTGATCTCTTGGCTTTCTGTCGGTAACTTCTAATAAGTGAATTATTATCCATGACAATACAATAGTCAACAACGCAGCGATACATATCCGTCATCATTATAAAAATAAGATCATACGTGTGCCCGTGTTGAAATGATCAGGTAACAGTGATGTTTACCTTTAAGTAGACTTGCTTATCAGTAGAATGAGAAGCTATATATTACGAATACAATAAAGATCCATTACTAGTTCCATCTATATACCAACACACACACACACACACACGTCTCATTGTAGTGAACACGGAGACTCAAGGGTGCGTGCGGGAGTGCTCTACAGTATTTGTAAGGCCTCACTAATCCCCTGTTTCAACTTGACGTTCTTCGTAGTTATTAGGTTGCCAGATAATAGCACTCTATAGCTATCGTCATCGGTGTTGCAGGTTGCATGCATATTCGTTCATTCATCATCACATATATACACTAAAGCGACTGTGTCGGTGAAGACGCCCCATAACTAATTTCAATAATTGGGTGCTAGGTAGGACACATGAAGAGAGGGAGGGTAACATGCGAGGCTTTAATCTTGGTGCGCAAAAACCTGATATGGTGGAGAACACCACTCCGGATTTTCATGCTTAAATTTATTCCAGTCATTGTCCTCACCCTGTGCCTGCAAATCTGAATAATTCAGACACGTATACCTTTCTAAGTTACATCAAAATATGCCACTATCTTTGTCAGCTATACTTATTAAATTGCGTTAGTATATATAGAAGTGTGTTGGATACTGTGGGAGTAGGACCTGGTTAAGATTGCCCACCAATTCAATATAATCCAAACCAACAAATAATTAATTAATGACTCTCCTTTTATGTCATATGATGAGACTTAACTTTTCCCGGGATCGATAATCCACCCTTTTACTCATCAAACAAACTCTGACCCCCACACTTCGTTCCTCAATTACGGGCAAGCCCTCCACCTTGCTCACCTTGCTGTCTCCCAATCATTGTCCATGTATATCAACCTCCTTATTACCTGCTACATGGTGCCAAATGTTGTGTCTGCGTATTAGTGGATTAGTGAGTTGAATGGAAGGCACGCACACATCCCATGAAGCTACACGGATGAAATATTGCCTTTTATAATATTTTAGTTTTAGAAGCGGATGCATAAAAAAAGGCTGGCACACGTTGATCACTTTCGTTAGTGAGCTGCAAAAGTGGCTTTCCCACATGCTGATTCTGCTTATTTAGAGCAGAAAACAAAACGGACACTGCTTAGTGGTCACATTAATATTTGGGAACCTCTTCAATAATAGTGTCCCGGGTGTTTTGAACTTGATCCAAAACCATTGAACGGCCTTTTATTTTTAATTCAAATTCAAATTAATCAAAATAATATAATGCTTCCCTGCTCTGACCACTAGCTTCATCTCTTATTAAATTCCGTTCGATGGTGGTGCATTCACTTCCATCATTCTACTTCCTGCTTCTCTATATCCAGCCATACTTGTTTTTTTTTTTATAGAAAGATATTCTTTTTTTTTTGGATAGTATAGATAGATATTCTAAAATTGCATAGCTTTTTTCTTCTTTATAAACACCGTCCTTTTTTGGGATTATGCGAGCACTCCGTCTCGTTATTCAATCAGTTGAGAATAAGACATCGGGAGGCCCGGCCCAAATAAAAGAGGCGGTCCTTCTAAGGGATTCCCGGCCCATAATACGAGACAAATAGACCAGATCGAAGACTCGATGCTTTTCCCCGTAGAGCCACCGAAGATTACAAATATCTCTCTTTATTCTACCTTCAGTTTCAATATGAGCTGAAAATAACACGACGTTGGGGGAATATCTTGCTGAAGAAGTCGAGTACTTTCGCAAACAGTAGTAATGGATATGAGTCCTTCTTATTGTGCGAAATTGTGAAAAAACACATGGTTAGTTACATTTTCAATAATCATCAAATCCGAAGCAATCAATTTAATGGAACAACGCACAATTATAGTGATGCTTTCGCTGAGGGAAGATAAGTGGGTTTTCCAGATCCTGGAGAAGAAGCAATCGATTTATTATTAATGAAAGCATATGGTTCCGCAACGAATTCCAGGGGTAGGTTAAACAATTGATGATAGAAGCAAGCCATGTTTTCACGTCTCTGTGTCATGATTAAAATGCGTGACCGATGTCTTAACACCAAACCAAACCGCCCCTAATAAAGGATTTTAGGTGGCCCACTGGCAAGTGTTCACTTACCCAGCTGTCTTAAATTCGAGCCACCATTCTGGCTCCCCTTTTTCTTCCTTTGCCTTGTTCATGTCACCATGACCCGGACTTGTTCGCGCCTTTGATCTGCTTTTGTAGAAGAAGAAAGTGCACCAAAATAAAAAAATCTGGGATCATTCTTTTTGGATTTCGCCCATCCCAGTCCTGTTTAGCCAATGAATGGAATGAGAAAGATGATTAAAGTTGAAGGAGGAAAGATTAGGCAATAATAAAACCCAAACCTGCATTAGGTAACAATAATGGGAGGAATTTGCACAAAAAAGTGCCGTATCACAACAACGAAACAGCATTCGGCGAGACGCTTCGTGCCGAATCAAACCAACGTCACTTGGGTTCGGCTGAGTCAACGCAACTCGCTTTATTAGAGTTGAATTCAACTTCAACTGCACAACTAGATAAATGCTTCATAAATAAGGCGTTCTCGTTCATTTTCACACACACACACACACACACACACACACACACACACACACACACACACACACACACACACACACACACATATATTAATTGATATCTAAATCTAAATTTTAATCCAAATCTGTACTAAATGGCTAACAAATTAATTATGTCAAGTGATTTTCTTTTTATACACCACATTAATATTAATTCATTTATGTTAACGATATTCAATACTAATATTAATATTACCATAAAATATAAAAAAGATTATAATCAAGAGAGAACAATTTGCTCAATCCCGTGTCACTTTGTGCTTGAAGCTTTGAACAAAGAGAGAGGAAGGCGGAGCATGTAAAGGAGCACTCTGCGTTGTGCTTGGCACCCAGGCGCAGATAACAGAAGCCAACAAGCAACGCAGTAAACCCTAATCCGTGTTGAAAGGAGTCGCTTTTATGTATATTTTTGAAGTTTAGAGGGTGACATAATCCATGAAAAACCTTCGTATCGAAGCCATATTGTCGATCACCAACGTCGGGGTGGCGTAGATGCTTGTCTCTGCGGTCTCCTGGGATCTCAATTGGTTCCTGCAGTTCATATTCACCTCCTTATTGATAGCTGTTGGATTGCATACCGTGGTCAAGAATACGGCCTCCAGGTATTTTGAGGTCGACGCCAATTTTGAGGGGGACCACCCCGCCGATCGAACTCCAATGCCCGGTGTTCTCATGCAAGACCCTGTTTGCGCCGTCTGTGGCCAATCCGGCACTAAGAAATGCTCCCGCTGTAAAGCCGCACGATATTGGTACGCGCTGCAATCCTTCCTCTTATTTCTTCTTCCTTTTTTTAGCCCATTCATTCTGGTTTCTCGGCTTTTTTTTTCCCCGACTTCAATGGGATCAGGGGGTTTACACTTTCTCGCGTCCCGCTGTCTCGGTAATTTATTGAATCTTGTCCACCTCTTGTTTTAGTTAATTCGGGGCCGCAACTTCAAGGTAACTCATGGAGCTGGCCAGTTTATTTTGGTTCTCAATTTGATCGTTTTACGCTGGCCCGAAAAAAAAAATTGCTTTCTTTTAAAAGAACTGTCACAAAAATCAAAAGATAAATTTTGAATTTTGTTCTTGTTGATTTTCCAGCTCAGAAGCATGTCAAGTGTCGCACTGGAAATCTGGACATAGAACAAAATGCAAGGATTTCCATCAAACTAATGGAACCGATTCGACTCAAACTGGGGCACCTGATAGTGGGCTTAAAAATTTAACTGCAATTACACTGGTGCCGGCCCGCGGAAAGTCACGGCCTGTCAAGCAGCTTAAAGGCGTAATTTTTGTCGAAAGCTTCATAAAATTCCACTCTTGACGTTTGTTGGTTGAATCTTCAATATTTTATCGAACATTAAATTTAACATTTGTGCTTTCCAGGTTCTTTTTCCGTACGATGAATTTGTTGGGTTTTTCAGCCGGGACAAATTAGGATTTCCTCCTTGTGGACTACTGAATAGTGGAAACAGGTTTTTTGTTTTTACAATAATCAATCTTATAAATAATGTTTAGTGTCATTTGGATTCATAATTAAATTCGTCGCTAATTTGTCAGCTGCTTTGCTAATGCGGTTCTTCAATGTCTCTCGTTCACAAAGCCCCTTGTTGCCTATTTGTTGGAGAAAGGACATCGTGGAGAATGTAATGTCAATGCTTAGATCTTTCTCTAGGTCTTGCTGGTTCTCAGCTTTTCCTCATGTTTATGGTTGATCACCACGGTTTTCCAGGTAGTCTTGATGACTGGTGCTTCCTATGTGAATTTCAAATCCATGTTGAAAGAGCAAGGCGAAGTTCACAGGCCTTTTCTCCGATGAATATTCTTTCTCATTTACCTAATATTGGTGGCACTTTAGGTTATGGAAGACAAGAGGATGCTCATGAGTTTATGAGGTCTAGTTTTCTTTTTTAACAATGTCATTTCAATTTTTGTAATGAACCGTACATTGACAATTCTTTGGAAGGAAATATATCTTACATTTAGTATTTGATACAATGCAATCTGTTTGCCTCTATTTGATACATGAACCGCACTGAAGAATTTCATTTTGCTTTTTGTAGGTTTGCAATTGATACAATGCAATCTGTTTGCCTCCATGAATTTGGGGGAGAAAAAACTGTCGCTCCGAGCCTGCAAGAGACAACTCTTATTCAGCACATCTTTGGTGGTCGCCTTCAATCTCAGGTCTTAAATCTGATACAATCATTACTATCATGTCCATATTAAAATGAATAACTCATTATAATTTATTCATGTGCATAATCGGCACAAGGTTAAATATTAACCTGCCCTAAAATGGTTAAATGAAACCTGTGTTCCCTTTTATCATCTCATGAACTGTACATGAGAGGAGAGACTCCGATGACGTAGAATCTCTTTTATTCCCTTTTATCATCTGATCCTCTTTAGGTGAGGACAAACCTTGTCTGTCTTTGGGAAGTCGACTAGTACCACATAGTGAGAAATTGGACAAGAGCTTGGCTCCCTTTCTTCAAGGTTGGGGGTTATGTTGCTGGCTTTCATCATCCTTTTGAGTTAAAATCTTAAATTTGGGGCTTAAAATAATGCGCAATCATTATCTTTTGAATATAGCATCATGACTCTTGCTGTCATCGCCATGATTTTTATTCTTATTTTTTCCTTGTAATCATCTCAAAGATTTTGGAGCAGTCACACTGAATCATTTAATTTTATCTGTATTGTGCAATAAGTTTTTCTTTAGTGTAATGAGCAGTACATTTTATGAAAAACTTTAGAAATGAGTCATTAAATGGCCTATTTTACTTCTAACTCATCATTGCGCAATCATGAAGACCGGCAAAAGGCTACCCTTTGACAGTGACACTGAATGAGTTTCTAATTGTGACAACGGGGAGATTTTAGGATTTGATGTGGTTTGCTTGTTGGTTATTCTGAGTTACAGTGTCATCAAATTGTTTTTCTCATTTAATAGCTGGAATTTTTTATCATCTTCCTTTTATTTTTATTTTTGTAACAGGTGTTTTTCAGATTTATCCTTTTGTGTTGTTGCTGTTGGCATGGATGGCTGAGTCTTAATATTTATTTATTTAAACAGGTGATCTGCTCAAAATGTGATAAGATTTCGAATCAGTATGAAAATATGATGGACTTGACAGTTGAAATTCAAGGAGATGCAGCCTCTCTGGAAGAATGTCTGGACCAGTTCACCGTCAAGGAGTGGCTTCATGGGGACAATATGTACAATTGTGATGGGTAAGGTTGACTGTTCTGTTATTTTAAATTTACGATTGTGTTATTTCTCAAGTGCAATTTATTTTTCCCTTTGAAAAGATGCTGGAACCTTCAATTGGTTCACTATCATATTGTGCCTGTTTGGATACGTCTTTAATCAATTTTGTTATCAAAAAAATCGATTATTTGGTTTATTAGCCGAACACCTAAAAAAGGCAAAAATCAGTTTCAACCATTAAAATCGATTTTTTTCAAAAGCCAAGATTTTGAGCTTTTCCGAAAACACTGATAAAAAAGTATTGGAGAAATTACAAAGAAAGATCCAAGAAAAAATTATAAGAAAGGCACAAAATTTTATTAAAAAAAAAAAAAACTCTCTTCTCTTCTCTCTTTTTTTTCTTAGTAGAATTTAAATTTTAAATATTTAAAAAAGTTGCTAACATAATTAGTTTCTGTCAACCACTACCTTCCACTTAGCACTTATTATAAAATAAATTCAAATAAAATATTAATTGGTGAAGGAAAATTAATTTAATTTAGTGTCATGACAAAGATTGTTGCAAAGGTCTAAAGAGAGAGATTTTGCATCATTTATTACATTGTTACATTTTTTATGTTGCCAAAATTTTAAAGTGGTATTTAACATTTTTGTCAGATATAGCTCATATTCATGATGCCATTAGAAATCAATTTGTATATTATTATCTTTATTAATTATTGTAAAATTAATGTTTGACATTTAAGAATTAAATCTTTCTCTTTTATTAAATTTATTTGAGCTAAGATATATTGAGTTATTTATTTATGTAAATTAAATTGTTAATATTAATATAATTTAAATTTTTATAATTAATCAGATATGTAATTTAAATAATATATTTTATTTCTTTTGTAAATTTTAACAAATTTAATAATATTAGATACAAATATATTAATAATTTAATTTTGAAAACTAATGTCCTTTATAGTAATTTACATAGTAAAAATTGATTCTGAATAAATTATTCAGACATCTTCAATTCTGTTAAAATCAATTTTAGAAAAACAATATCCAAACAGATTACGTTATAACATAATCAATTATGATTAAAATCTACCACTTAATCAATTATTTTCATAATGTATTATACCCAACTGAAATCCAAATGGGCACATTGTATATTTCTTTCTGCTTTTGGCATTGGTGCTATCATCTTTTTAGTATTATATTTAGTGACAACTAAGAGATGGATCGTTTATGTATCAGTTTATATATATATATATATATTTTTAGCCAGATGCCAGTTAGTTTTTAAATGGATTTATTATATATGATGGATGACTAGATAATGTTCTTTGAGCATATTTTGTATCTCAAATTTGAATTTGTTTCAAATAGATTTTCAAATTGAATATATGTAAATCACTCCTAAATATTACTTGGAATTTCTGGGAATATCTGGAATTAGTAATCCTATTTGGTTAAGTTAAACTTCTTTTTTTGGGAGCTCCTCAAAGTTACAATCGTAGTTCCATATGCCAATGTTTGACCACAACCCTCAGGCTCAACAAAAGTGAATTCAGGGCTGATTTAGCTCAATGTACTCACTCTGTAGGAAGCTAATTTGGATAAAATGAACCTTTATATGCTGATCATTAATTTGCCAACCAGCGGTTTATATTGAATTTAGTTATGGGTGCTATGTTCTGATTTCACCTTCTCTAGTGGCGATGAGTTGTGGGTTGATTTAGATATGTAGCTGTGTAGTTTTCTTTCATTAGCGGAGTGTACTTTGCTTGGGAGTTATCCTTAACAGCAATTGAAGAGCTTATTCTGTTCATGTTTAAATGAGAATTCTCATCATATGTTGTTTCCTGCTCAAATTCTCAATTATTTGGGATATTTATGGTTGCTAAATTCAAGCAGGGATGCTTGGGATGTTTTTATGAGGGTGCTTTTCTGAAGGTTCTAATCGTTGGTAAATGCTGTCTCTAGGTTCAGGGATGTAATCCTTTGAACGGGAAGTTTATGCATGGAATTTGGGCATGCTTTTACGTATAATGTTCAAAGTTTGGCTTTCGATATTGTGCATTTGCTGCCAGTTAGACCTTGTGTCACACAAGTTTTGCTGCTCTTTGCAGGTGCAGTGACTATGTGAAGGCATGGAAACGTCTTACTGTAAAACAAGCTCCTAACATTCTTACAATTGTTTTGAAAAGATTTCAGGTATGAGAAATTTTCCAGAAACTTTATTCCCAAGTTGCTTTATTTTTAAAAATTTAGTTGTATCCAGCCCTCCCAAAAGATGCTTCATGTGAAGATGCAAATGTTGAATAAATGAAGATGATTTTTTGATACATTGTTCTGCTTCTAATCCAAAAATAATAAATTTTGAAATTTTATTTGTCCTTTTTTTGGGCATGACAATTGTTTGTGTTTATTTGGTGGTGTGTACTGCAGAGTGGGAGGTTTGGAAAACTTAACAAGAGGATAACTTTCCCAGAGACTCTAGATCTTAGCCGTTACATGAGTGAGGCAGGAGATGGGTCAAATATCTACAAGCTTTATGCAGTTGTAGTTCATCTGGATATGCTAAACGCTTCATATTTTGGTCATTACATCTGCTGCATCAAGGATTTCCACGGAAACTGGTACAGGGTTGATGATTGGAAGGTAGATTTGCTATGTCTTTCCATCCAACTCTGAACATTTTCCCATATGGTCACCAACTACTGCATGTGTCAAGTTTAACATTTTTATTTGCCTTTTCGCATGTCACAGGTTATGAGGGTGGAGTTGGAGGAGGTGCTCTCTCAGGAAGCATACATGCTTTTATACGGCAGGTGCTTTCAAGACCTTGTTCTGAAGCGATAAAAACTTCCAAGACTTTCTGATTGCATTTATGCTAACGGATTTTTTTTAATATGACGAGGTTTCATTCTATAGACTAAAGAGTACCTGTATAGGCTCAACTTACAATGAATCCAATCTTCTGTAGTTCTATTTGATGTTTAGGCCTCAGGGTTTTCTTTTGGTTGATATAGTATAGGGCACGCACTGGGTCATTTTATGGGGAAAAATTAGCTGCACCTGAATGAATCCATCTTCATGGTAACTAATAAATATAAAATGCGCTTGCCAAGCACAATGGGCATGTGCGTGTAACTTTATGAACAGAAATACTAATTTTTTATCCACAAAAAGAAAAAAAAAAAACTTTTGGACTGAAGCTGTATGTTTTGCTTTGTCTAATCGTGGACAGGTTTAATGCGAGGCCATCAGGCCTTCAAGCCACGGAATCATCAGGAAAGGAAGAACAAAATGTGAAAGTGGAGGTGGAGCCAAGCCCAACAGGTCAAGTTGCTGGCCTCTCAAACAAGGAGACTGTAACTACCTGTGGAAGTTATGAAGTTCTGACATCTGACAGCAGCCACGCAATACAGGTTTCTGGCTTTGAAAATGAGTCGCTGAATGGGATTAACCAAGATGTCAAAAAAGAGCGCACCGAGGATGTGGGGGTGAATGGTCTTGAGGTGACTTCTGATGTTGCAAATAAGATTCTCTGCAGCTCGGTGCAGCCACCTTATTTACCTTCTCCACGAGATGTCAGATACTTTGAGGGCATAGAAACGGCCAGATCAAATCCATGCTCATCTATTTCAGAAGAGACCTCCGGCAGAGAACAAGAGGGTACCAATACAGCTGAATCTGGTCCTTCTCCAGGTCTGCTGAATGACTTCTCTTGCTTCCGTGAGGATTCCTCTGTTCCAAAGGATTATAAATTTACAAGAGAGGACTCAGAACATACGGAGGTGATTAAATGCAATTCAACTACTACAGCAAGAGATTATGCAAATGGTCTCCATGGGTATGTAAGTGCAATCAAATCTGCTATTCCAGGTGAAGATGGTTGTGCAGCATTTTCTGGCATTGGTGCTTTTCCCACGGAAATATCCTCTGCTGATGTGCATAGAATTAAAGCAGCAGGGGTTGCCTCTCTACGTCTATGAGACTGAGATGAAATAGAATCGAGAGAGTAGAAATATCAGGGAATAATATATATTTGTAGGGATAGATATTCTTGCTGTTTATTCTTATCATTTGATGATCCCATCATCTGAAAGCGGTGGTGAGTAGGGAATTTTTGTCCGGGGTTTCATTTTCGCGTGAACCTTGGATCCTGCAGCAGCATACTTGGACGGATTCTTTAAGTAATTGGACCATAGTGACAGAATATCGAATTCCTTTCTCGTGCTCTCCCCGAACGTTTTGAATATTGCATTGTTTTCGGAAATGATGATAGGCTTAGAATGGTTGCGGAATATGAACTCTCATGTCTGGAGGGAAAGGTTCTTGGATATATTTAACTATTTCTGAAAATATGAATGAATTTGCAGAATTACTTTTGGTCTTGAAAACCAAAACGAATTACAAAGAATAAGAACTGTGATATGATTATTTTTTCCTTCTTTACTTTCTTGCTTCTCCACTTTTAATTTTTTATTATTTAAGGCTTAAGTTAAACAATACATAAATTAGAGTAAGAATGGAGAAGCATGGGAAGAACAAATTTTATAAGGTCTTAGTGATTTTTAAAACAATGGACACCTCTTCAAGGCTTCAGGCGCGTGGGTAGATTACTATTTTATTATTATTATTATTGTTATTGTTATTGTTATTGTTATTGTTAGTAGCTCAGTAACTTTAGTTTGACAGTTTTCATTTTTCAATTGTTGAAGCAATGCGTTTGAATAAAAATATTCATTCATGAGTTCTTGAGGGAAAATAAATTTAGCTAATATTCTTCATGGGAAACGGAGAAATGTGATCACTTAAATAATAAGTGATGTATTTTCGAGAGGTATCTTACGTGCGTGTAGATCGAGAGCGGAGCATCGGGTCCCTCCTAACTTTCGACTTTTTGAGTGTGGGAGGTGGAAGCATCTGCTTCATCTGAAAGCACACGAGCATAGGCGGATTAAAAAGACAAGAAAAGTTTGGGGGAAAATTGAGAAGCAGCTGAGAAAGATCGTAATTAACGGCCTTTGCTACCCCTCGTATAAGTTTCTCGCCGCTAGTTTAATCCGATCTTTCCCTAAAAATGCTTGGCTCGTGGGCGAAACTTTGAGAATATTGACCGGTAGTTGTAGGGTTACAGAGCATGCTGCAGAAGACAATGATTCCTCCACGAGTAGCCAAAGGCACCGGAAATAAGGGGTTAGGGCTCGCTTTTTTTTCGCTTTGGGAAGGTCAGCAACAGCAAACACACCCTCTAAGCTTTGACATGCGTGGATGAAGCAACTTTGAAACTCAGTGTCAGTGGTCCCTCTATTTTTTATTTTAGGCTGCCTTGCACTTTAAAGCCACTCAGGGCCAAAGCTCCAATCTTTAGAGAGTTTTTGAGAGCAGAGTCAACCTCTTCCCTTTCTCAACATCTCAAATCTCATTTTATGAAAAAAATCGCATTTTTACAATTGACATTATAAGAATAAAGAGATACCTAGGAAACTTCCTACCGCTCGTCCTTAAGCTTGCTTTTCCTTTTTCGCTTTTTCAGATTTTTTGTCTCCCTCTTCGACCTCCTTTCAACTCCCATATTAAAAGGAACACCACTAATACTCTCACTATGTTTTCTCCTGAACAAAGCAGAGCTGATTCGATTCAATCAGGTACGTTCCCCTTTAATGATTATGTTCGTGTGTCATCTCAATAGATAATTTACGAGCTTTTGTCATTCTTCATCTTACTCTTCCGGTAATGAAGTTTGTGAATGTGGCTTTACTACATGGATATCTGTCTGAGTATTGCTCTCGTCTAGTACTGGTGCCAAGGATTTTGGTTTGACTTCAAGATCAATTCTTTCTTTTCCTTGTTTGATTTGAAGGAGGGGTATTGGGGGGTAAAATATATGATTTGTGAAAGTGATTATCTGTTTTTTCATCTCTTTTCTTTTATCCTCTGTTTTCTCTTTTCTTTTACCCTCTGTTTTTTAGTGCTTGCTTGTTTTGTAGCTGGGAGGGGATTAGGGAAGTCTGATAGCATCTCAAGTTTCAAGCTTGATTTATGTGGATAAAGGACACCCTAATTTTTTCAATGATATCATGGCAGATTTTTTTCCCCTGTAGCTTTAATTCATTGACACCTGCAACATTCAACAATCATCGAGAGTCTATAGATCTATCTCTAGGTTCCATTTGAAGGCCTCCATTCACATTCATGTTGCTACTTCATATGATTAGTTATGCTTTTGTAATGGAAAAGTTGATCGCTTAACAACGTCTTGCTATCTTTGTCGCTGCAGTTTTCTCTATACCTCTGGTCTAATGGAACGCAGTGACCAGCCTGATGCGAGGGTAAGTTTGAAGAGAAAATCACCAGAATGTGAAGCTGAAGATGATCCACTCTCCGACAGTTTTTCTCTGGACGACCTTCCTGAAGACCTCTTTGAAAGGGTTCTTTCATGGCTACCAACTTCCGCATTTTTTCGTCTTATTTCTGTCTCCAAAAGATGGAAATCGGTCGCTGCTTCTTCAAGCTTCAAGCTTGCCTGCTCTCTTGTTCCTTCAAGAAATCCTTGGTTTTTGATGGTTTCTCCCAATCTCAACCAATCTATCATCTACGACTCTGCTGAAAACAGTTGGAAAAGGCTTAACTATCCAAATCTTCTACTTGAAGATTCCAACCGAAGCTGCATGCTAGTTGCATCCTCCGGTGGCTTGATTTGTTACCGCAAATTATCAGGAAACTTAATTGTGTGCAATCCCTTGACAAAATCTTGTAACGTACTGCCTCCATTGCATATAACCCCACAAAATCAATCTCTAAATGCCATTGTGATGAGTGCAACCTCCACCTCCTACAAGATCGTGTTAATCCACGGTGAACTCCCGAATCTGTCATTTACAGTGTATGATTCAAATTCAACCTCTGGTTGCTGGAAAGATGAGACTGTATTGAGGAAAAATGTTAATGATTCCTGTTTAGAGTATGATTCAACTGGTGACAACGTTGCTTACTTTGTAAGCAAGGCTGGATATGTGGTGGCGAGTGGTATGCAATTAGAAAGAAGCCCATTGAAGCAATACTCGTCAGTTATTACAAAAAAAGATGGTCAGGAAGTTGTCTATTTTCTTAGCCCTCTGGGAACAATAGTTGCCTGCAATCTGACAAAAAAGAGTTACTCTGAGTATCCGAAGTTGTTACCTGTTTTGTGTGAGTACTCCGTCGATGTTGTGGAGTGTAATGGTGAGATGCTAGTTGTTGTGTTGTCAGAATTGTTGGAGAGTCAGAGTCTTAGGGTGTGGAAGTATGATGAAGCCAATCGGCAATGGCACCAGATTGCTGCGATGCCTCCTGCAATGTCCAATGAGTGGTATGGCAAGAAGGCTGACATCAACTGTGTCGGTGCCGGTGATCGGATATTTATATGCTTGAACTCCTCTGAGCTATGTGCTTATGTGCTGTTTGATTTGGCGAGCAACGCATGGGTGGAATTACCAAGATGCTGCATAAATGGTGAAGTGATTGAGTTCATGTCTGCCTTCTCATTTGAGCCCAGAATAGAGGCTTCTGTATGACAAGATGTCTTGCTTGGCATCTTGACTTTGATTAGTCTCCATTTGTTTAGGCTCCATCTTGACTTTGATTAGGCTTATGTTGTGCATTTTTTCTTTGAATCTGTAGCTGATTGTCTAGTGGAGAGTGGTATGGAGATAGGGATTGAAACTGACTAGTAATTAAGAAATACTCTGCCCATCCTAAGTGTAGGAGCTTGTTTACTAATTCACATAAATTAAAGAATGGTCATTTTGTTCATTCGGATTTGAAGTGTTCTGAGTGTCTAGTTATTGTCAATGGCATGCAAATCACCTGAAGCTTGGGCATTCCTCATGATTTGGTTTCGAACTATTTTTAATATCGCTTTCATATTTGTTATCAAAGTCACACTCTGTAGTACCTCAAAATGAAGATTTTTTTTTTCTTCAAGCATGAAAAAGGTGGAAATTGTTATTTTTTTTCCTTTTTCTTTTCTGTTTTCTAATGACTGATGAGTAATGACAGAAGTAAAAATGTTCATTTTTCTAATATTTTACTTGATAATCTTGGCTTTTCAAAATCACTTTGGTAGATTTATTGATTAAGCTCAGAAAAGAAATATTAACAAAATGAAATGGATTAAGCAACGAAAATGATAAGCCAGTTTTTTAATATATTTTTAGTGATTTCAAAATTTATTGATACTTTTGAGTATAATTTATCTTTATTTCACTTTATTTATTTATTTATTTATTTTGCAATTCTAAGTCTGAATACTTTCCAGTGATTATATAAATAAATATTGATCGTTAACTAATTGACTGTTAGGCTAATATAAAGGCGTAATTGAGCATGATAATCCCATTCTCCCAGAAAGTGTAAAATTCTATAGCTCATCATAACTTTCGATGTATGATACGACATGGAGGATAGTTAAGTTAAAAGATGGTAACAGTAAGATGGAGTGCATCATGAACGAGCTAATGACAATAATAATGGTATTTTAAGAAACGATGGTGTGCATGTGATTGTTATTGGTAATAATATCTATATATGTTGAATAAAATTGCTGATGGTAATTTATAAATCACGTCTATTTTTCAAATTTTTTTGATAAAAAGTCAAATATTATTAAATAAGGAAACTGATAAGTGCAATAAAAGGCGCAAGTGAAAAATATCCATGCTAGTCATATACATAATTTTCAAGTTATATATAAAATTCACACTAGTCTCACGAAAAATATGCAAAAATTTTAAATAAAATAAAATTCATAACGAAAAATTTAAAAAAAATTCAAACATTAAGGAGGATATATTTCCACAATAAAAAATATTAATATTGCATCGAATATGGGAAAAAACCTGTAATTTTAGAACCTTATTTGCTTTATAACTTTATTAAGAAATCAGGAATGTCATTTGAGATTTAACTTTTGCAACAGTTGCTATAAATGTTTGGATCAATATTAGGATTCAAAAAAGTGCACATCTAACGAGAAAAGCAATTTTAGGCCTCCGAATGAATGGCCATGCCATACTTAAAAATCAGAGCAAACCCTCCTCCATGTTATAGCGTGATTGAGTAACTCTCAAAAACACAATTGATATTATAAGATTTAAATTAAATATTCGCAAGTAAGATTAGGAACCTATACATACTTAATTCATCTCTCAATAAAAAGATGAGTAGGTTCTTCAACCCAATTTTCCTGTCAATCTTAATCATTGACAATAGAGAATAATAGTAAGAAGTAAGAACTATCGAGAAATTTGGAACTCGTTTGGTTTCTTTCAAAAATTATTTTTTGTTTTTAAAAGCAAAAAATTATAAAAGCTGTTTTGATAAGTATTTTGAATTTAATTATTTTTAAAATTGTTCTTATTTTTATTTTTAAAAACAAAAAAAATATAAATATTTTAAACTTATTTTTATTTTCAAAACATACTGCATTTACTTATTGAAAAATATAAATAGGTTAATCATTTTCTATCATAAATTATCACTATTAATTGCCTGCAACATTACTATTGATCTTTTTTTCAACTCTAAAACTGTTTTAAATTAACATATATAACCAAGGAATTTTTTATTTTATTTTGCCTTGAAAATTAATTTTAAAAGATGTACTACAAAACATTTTTTAAAGCAAAAAATGGAAACAGAAACCAAATATATTTTTATACTATTTTTTTATAAGTTATCATCTAGATACATATACTCCTTTCGTTCAAAGTATAAAACATCTTTTGAGAAATTGAATGTTAAAAAATATAAGACATTTTTAACCTTTTAAGGTATAATCATTACTTTTTTTCAAAATGTCCCTATTCATGAATGACTTTATATTTATTATAAAGTGTTTAATAAGGATAAATATGAAAATATAGGATTAGTTTGAAATAAGTAACTACTTTTATTGAGAGGTGAGATTTAATTAAAAATATCTTATATTTTTAAACGGAGGAAATAAATGTTTTTTCTAGTGTATTAAAAACATCAATACAATTCTCTCTCACTATATTTTTTAATTATTCTCAGCTTGTGATTGAAACCACTTACAACTAAAAGAATACAGGTTGGAACTTGTATGACCTAATCTGATACGTGATTAATATTAAGTTAGGACTGATTGTTTAATTCAAAAAAGAAAGGACTGATTGTTTAAAATGAAATTAAATATTTTCATGAATTGATTAATATCAATCCACATAATTATTAGATTTTAAAAAATTAATCTAACAGGTATAAATGGGCAAAGAAGACGGGCTCTGGGTATATCCAAACAAAGCCTATATCCCGAACCATGTGAACACTTGGAGGCAGATGATGACTGCATCAGAGGCCACGCCGACTTATGGGCGCGAAAGCGACCTCACAATTTGAAAGGATAAGGCCCAAACGATGAGACCGGTTTACCCTTTCACGCAATCACAATTCAACCTATATCCTTACTTCTCATTCTTCTCCATGGCACAAACAAAAATCTGAGTGCGCATGCTAGCTAGCAATGGTGGGAATTAATGGAACCTGAAACTCGATCGGACTGCCTCTCCAGAGTGTATAAATAATCAAAACTAACCTGGCAATAGAATCTCTACACCAGCAGTTTATTAATTTATTTATAAAGCTATCATCTTGTGGCAAATTGTCAGTTTGACACGCGTCAACGTCATTATACTGTGACGGTCGAATCCAGATGCCGCGTTTCGTTCCAGAATATTTTTATATATGTGATAATATATATATGTGTGTGTGTGTATATATATATATATATGTATAAAAGTTTTGAGAAGATTCAATTGTATGATGGTGGATTGCAGAAGCTATTTACTTGTTATATGTCTTTACCAGGGAACCCAATGAACAAGTATATAAAAGAAGCCAAGAGATTTTTTGGCAGAATCTCCTCTCACGATGCATCACGAGCAGTAGTTTGAGAGAATTAATGCTGTGTGTGTGTATAACTGATCTGAGAGCGCGTCGTGAGTATAATAATGGTGGAGCGAAGCAACGAGGAAGGTGCAGGAAACCCAATTGGATTTTGTTTTTTTTTGATATAGAAGAGTGAAGCCGACAAAACAGTTCAGTCCCACAAGGAAAAGCAATACCCAACACACGGGAGAGCCCGGATTTTTTTTTTTTTGGGGGGGGGGGGTTATGGAGTAGTTGTGTCCGAAGCATTCGTCACCGCTAAAGGTCCAAAGTCCCTTATAAGCTCAAAAGACCCAACCCACATTGTTTAATCACAAATGCTATTGGAGTTTCTGTTTCTTACTGTCATTCTGCGTAGTCTCCAACTTTTGGCCACTGAACCACACGCCCAGACGCCAATAATTGCCCTTTCTCATTAATATCCCCTGCCTTCCGATCAGAGGAAACATCGGGCAATACAGCATGAATTCCTTTCCCTGTCTGCAAGGAAAACGAATCGTATCATCCATTCCAAATTCTTGACTCTCCCTTCGCCTCTCTCTTTGTCCTGAAATGCTCTCTCTATTTGCATATGCTCCTCTGCTTCAATATTCCTTTCGACAGTTAGATGCTGAATAAATAAGTACTATCGCAGAAATATTAATTCAAAGCATTTGTCGCGGTTCCTATTGCAGAAATGCAAGGGCGAAAAGCATGACATTGGCGGAGGCAAGAGCAGTGGAGTAATTGCTTGTGAGAGAGAGAGAGAGAGAGAGAGAGAGAGAGCAATTCGGAGGAGTGAGAGGAGAGTCCGTTTATTATATATTGAATATTTTATTTGGGGTAGGTCATAAAACTTGAAGCGGCAACAACCGAGGTTTGCCAAAGAGGGAAAATTCCAAATGAGTTTGAGAGCCCCAGGCTGTCCCCACCAAACCACTTATGAGTTATGACGCTCATCTCATCCTCATATAAATCTGCCTCCCTCTCTGCACTCTCATTCATGCACATCCCTCATGACTGCTCCATCGTCTTTCCTCCATGAGTTTCAACAACACTCTCACCCTCATTTCTCTCCTACTCGCATCCGCAATCTGATCAAACATTTCACCAGAACCAGATCCCATCACTCCATGAACCCTCATCCTTCCCCTCCTCCCAATTCTACCAGACATGGCAGAGTTTTAGATGCCTCCCAACGCCGACCCCATAAAAGACAGGTTCGCAGGAGACTCCACACTGGTCGCCCCTACCAGGACAGGCTTCTCAATGCGGCTCAGGCTAGGAGCGAGATTGTTTCTGCCCTCAAATCTCACCGAGCTTCCATGAAACTCGAGCGCCAACAACAAGAAGCCAACCCACAGCACTACCAGCTGCTGCAACCCCCCTGTTTTGTGCCGGATGCAGCAATTATGTCCCAGACAAATCTCGTCTCTGCTTTTTCCTTCTCGTCCCGCTCTCATCCCAATCTGTCGGTTCCGAATCCTTCGAACTATCCCGCCGCCTCCCGAGGCGCTCCACCGCCCGTGGCTGGAAACCTCAAGTACAACCTGCTTCCGAATCGCACTCTGGGTCTGAACCTCAATTTTAAGGATTTCAACAACTTAGATGCTGCTCTTTACCTTGATAACGGCACCGCGTCATTTTATCCGCGCTCATCTCCGTCATGGTCTTTTCCTTCACTTTCTGTGTCAACTGATCAGGAAGTTCCTTCGGTTGCAATATCACGGGCAGAGGGAACTTCTGCTCTGGCGGATGCTATTGACTCCGTTTCTGCGACTCGGGTTCCTGGAGGCAAACATACAATTCTGGGCGACAAAGGAATGGCGGAGATCAGGTCGCAGGGAGAGCGATGTCAAGCGGAATGGAGTGACACTGTGAATTTGGCCGCATCCACATCAGCGACTGAGATCAGGACTGAAGATAACGCTGCATACCCTGTTTTTGATGAAGCCGTGGAATTTCCAGATTGGTTTAGCGCAAATGAGAGATGCTTTGAACCGTGCTCTGAGGAATTCGTCTCAGATCCTACTTTACCTTGGTAAGTTTAATGCAATTCTCAGGATTTGGCATTCCTGAATTTGATTAGGAAGTGTTCGTTTTTAGTATGTGGCTACGTGATAAGGGGAAGGAAGTCTGTGGTTTGTTCGAGTGATGTGGTCTCATCGTGACCCGCTTCCGTTTTAATTTCTGAAGCATTGGTAGGGTTAAGTCTGACTAGTTTTCTGTTGACTTTATTCTCGGAGAGCCTGGTGAAAGTGAACGAGCAACAGATGAAATCGAACTGGATTGTGTTTGAAAATGAAGCCATGAATGTCACGTTGTGTGATCGGCTGAATCTCCATTTTTTTTTTTTTGGGTTACCCACATTGGAGATAATTGTATAAGAGGCGTTGTGGCTCGGCAATAGGCATGTTGAGAGGAGTTGCCTCTTCTGACCCAACCTCCTGTTTGTAAAATTTGTACAGCACAATATGGCCCAAGGGGCTCCACTGTCTTCAATGGGTTCTCTTTCTCGTCTTGAAATAGGCTTTTATCAAAGTTTTTGTGACGTTTTTACCCAAAAAAAAACGCTTTTTGTGAGGATGTCTAATCAGTACACTGGATAACACGCGTTCGCGCAGTGTCAGACAACTCATGGGCTATCTCAGTATTCAGTTTGACTAACCTGCAATCGTCTTGGGCTTTTTTCCCTTGTTCAAATATGGCAGGACATGAATCCGTTTCTTGTTTATTTAAAAAAAAAAAAAGAATCCGTTACTTGTTGTTCTTTTTGCTTTTACCTTAATCCATTATGGTTTTTGAGTTCCAACGAATACTAATTAGTTTATTTTCCATTTCTTTGTTTCTGTTTTTCGTGACTGTGGGTACACAGCATGGAAATAGGCGATATTGAAGGCATGGGTGAAGAGTGGCTAGCATGACAAAGGACAAGCCTTTTTCATTCTGGATGAAGATTGGTTGGCATGACATGGATTAAATTTCAGTACTAGTCCCCCGTCCCTTACAAGAATCTTCTCTAAGTCAGAAATTAAAATCGAGGCAGGCTGCATTTATATAATATCAGGAGAATAAGGACTTGTTTGTCTTTTATTTTTAAAAACTATTTTTTGTTTTTAAAAATAAAAAAAAAAATTTTATTTAGATAAATATTTTTCATTTAGTTAGTTCCAAAACTGTTTTCATTTTTTTTATTTTTGAAAATTTTTTTAAATACATTACATTTGCTGCCTGTTTGGATTGATAAAAAATCAATTATTTGGGGTAAAATAATCGTTTTTGCCAAAAATTAATCAAACAACCAGAAAATTTAATATTTGATTATTGAGTCAGAATCACATTTTGAAATAAGCTTTATGAGGTTGCTTATAGATTCAATTTTATTGTTAAATAATATATTTTACTTGCAAATCAAATTTAACAAATTTAATAATATTCAATATAACTTTATCAATAATTTAATTTTAAAAAGTAATATCCTTTATGATCATTTATACAGTTAAAATTAATTTTAATATCCAAACAGATTGTACATTATACATAATTAATTATAATTAAAATTAATCATATTAATTAATTATTTTCATAATCAATTATATCCAACTGAAATTCAAATAGGCCCTTGGTTATTGAAGATTTGCTATCTTGACTAATTTTTATTATTAATTACCACCATTAATTGACTATAACTATTGCTATCAATCCATTTTTATTCTAAAACTGTTTTTTTAATTGACATAATAAAACAAATTTTCATTTCATGTTGTTTTAAAAATTGTATTACAAAACAGTTTTTTTTTTTTTTTAAAACGAGAATAGAAACCAAACAGTCTAACATTTTCTTATTTTTCTTCTCCCTCTCCATCTCGTTTTAATGGAGAGAATGTTATATGGAATTGCCATTTTTTTGACGTGAAAAACAATTAAGTGTTGGGACCACGCTATCCTGCTTCTCATAATTAATTGGAGTTAAAATTAAATTGCAGGTTTTATAATCCCTGCTACTAAAACAGATATATATATATATATATATATAATTGGTAATTCAGGCCCAGCCCAACCTATCCAAAAAAATTAAAGCCGAGCTTAGTTATATGAATTTTTTTAAAGAGAATAGTATATTTAAAGCCTAGCCTAAATTGAATTCGACCTGAATAAGCCCGATAACTAAATTTACAACTTTATATGCATATAAAGTTTGTAATTTTTTAGCCCGACCTTGCCTATAAAAAATCAGGGTCAAGCTTGGTTATATTAACTTTTTTAAGAAGGTAAGATATTTCAAGTCTGATTCGAACAAATCTAACATGAATTGATCCCGGTCCGTCCAAATTATCAGCTCTAGATATATCTATCACTTTGTTTAAAAATATAAAATATTTTTAACTAAATCTCACCCCAATAAAGTAGTTTCTTATTTTTAAATTAATCATATCTTTTTACATTTACTTTTATTTAATAAAATGTTTTATCTTATAATAAAGATAAAATAATTCATTCAATAGAAATATTTTTTTGAAAAAAAGTTAATAATTACATTTTAAAAAATTAAAAATATTTTATATTTTTTAATATTTAATCCTTCAAAATGGAGAGAATATATGCTTACATAGGGAAGTGTTGCGTCCACATGTGCGCCGCTTCCAGCATGCAACAATACCGAATACACATGCACTGTCTGTTTCCTCAACTTCAATAAAATTTAATGGATTCAAAGTTGGTTTTATGTCGGTTGAACTAGTTGAATAAGAAAGAATATATCAAGTCTGATCTTAACTACTAGAGTAGAGCGACATGGTGTGAGGATTCTTGTAAACCAAGGGGGGATTGATAATAATTAAGAAGGAATGGTAGTTATGTGGGCTTATAGTTTGTCTTTCATACTCTAATTTTATATTTTATCTTTTGTTTATTTAAATTTTATAAAATATCTTTTCACTTTTTTAATATTAATATTATTAGTTTAAAATGATTATTTTTTTATATCTGTCATTATATTTTTAAAAATTAAACATAATTTATCAATATCTATATTTAGGGTTGAGTTGAATTGAAATTTTTTCAACTTATATGAAAGCAGGTTGAACTCAACTGAACTCACATTTCTCTTAACCTATATGAATCGAGTTAACCCATCTTCTCGCCTCTAGTGCACGCATTGCATAAAATTTTAAAAACACATTGTGCTTGTTCTTTTCCAACAACGTAGGCAACTTACTCTCTTGGCCCTCCCTTAAAAATATAAATTTTTAAGGTAAAATGCTAAAAAACTATAAAACTTGTCTCAATGCAATTAATAAATTAAAAAACCTTAATTATAAGGTATAACAGTAAGATTTTATAAATTGAGATATTTTATTAAATAAATATAAATATGAAAAGAGTATGTAATTTTAAAGATAATTAACTAACTTATTAAAAATGTGATTTTGTTAAAAATGTCTTGTAACATTGAATGGATGGAGTATAAATTATGTGAGTCGAAGCAAATATATAATATACACATAAAAACTGATGTTGATGTTTAAACTATAAGAATTAGATTAAAAATTAAATAACATGTAAACACCAGCAATCTCAATATAGGAGACCTCAACAATATCCCCAGCACGCTATGCTTGCCTAGTATCACAAAAATCGTGCTCCCAGAATTGAGGAGTCAACTGTCAGGGATTCAAAATGAGATGTTTAGAACTTGAAGGTTTTAAAAGAATTCCATATGGGAGGATGAGATGAGGTAGAAGCAGTCAGACCTGTGGTGTGAAGTGGATCCATGTGTCCTGCTTTTGCACATTCCAGCACAATGCTTAAGTGAAACTCACGTTTTCATTGTGGTGTAGCGTGTGTATATTTAGTATTTACGTACACTTATCTCATGGGCATGTACGTACCCACATACATTCTCTATTTTCGTCTACGCGCGCGCACAAGCACGACCATATCTCTGTCTGTGCCGGAACACGAGTCTGCGTCCAACTTACCGTCATGAAATTAAAGCAGACGATATCTTAATTAACATACAATGCATGAGTTTAATTTCAAATGAAAGAAGGGGATGGGGATTTTCAGGGGCTCAATTTCTGCACCCAGATAGAGAGGGGGGGGGGGACAGGTCTAAGTTGAAGAACGCGTGACGAACAAGTGACAAACACTAAGTCTTGGGTTTTATTACAACCTGCGAACAGGGAAAGTCGGTGATGAGTCCATCACTTCACACTTAATAATAACCACTGGGGTAGTTTTCATTGATAGCTATATATCCTTCATTAATCATCACTGGTTTCCATCTAATCGTCTCACAGATGAGGACATTGTGCAGAGTTTTAGTAAGAAAAACTGCACGTCTTTCTACTCTAATTCTAAAGTGGTCGGCAACTGACCATCAATGATTCACTGTAGTTTTCATTGCGACCACTCACAACAACATACGTACATACTTCTATGTATGATGATTACAATTTATCGGATACATACTCAAGGAGAGCGTCGATGCTGGCGTTCGAAAATGCACTAGTCGTTATATTGTTAAGAAACGTAGTTACGTACGCACGCGTACGTACGAGCATTAATAAATTCATAGCAAGTACACTGTTCACAAAATCATGAACAGTTGATGAGCTCATCATTCCTTAAATCATATGCATCGACCGAGGAAAATGTCTCTTGTTTTGTAGACTTTTAGCACTCCATGATGAAAATATTAAATTTTATAGATTTTACTCAACTTCTTTATATGAATATTTTGTACGTGTGGTCTGGGTTGCCCGATTGAAACTCAAGGCTTAGCTTAACGAGTGAAGGAAACCTGCTTTCCCCAGCAAAACCCAAGTTTGATTGGTATAACTTACTTGTAGGAATCTATCCTGAGATACAAAAAGCTTCGACTATATGTGTCTGCATAGATTAGAAACTGCATGTGTATTTTAAATATGTGCGTTAATAAAATTATAAAACATATTTATATTTGTATATATTGCTTACGGAATTTATCCGACCTAATTACAGTTACGTTATTAATCGTGAACTTGTGCCCTGTTTGATCATATCAGTTATAAACTGTTAAAGATTCAACCCGATTTGTGAAACATTAACACGCCTAGTAGTTAACGATTGCTAACATTCGATCAACCTACACGATGGAGCACCGTTTTTCTTAGATCGGACTCCTGGCAGTGGATGAGATGACCTCAAAATTAAATGGCCATGTTTGGTTTAAAAAAGGGAGTAAGGCTTCAAAGTGTGTCGCAATAGGAGTTGCCTTTCATCCTCTGCAGAGGAAGGCAAAGGAGGAATCACTGCAGAACAGGACCATTAAATTAGATTTGATAATTTTTAAAAGTAAAGATTTACTTTAAACGATTAAAATTTATATGGATGATTAGTGGAGGGGGGAAAAAACAGTGACCATCACAATAAGGGATGAAGATGGAGTACACGGTCCAAAAAATTAGAAACGCGGCCTATGAGAAGGAGTGAAGCAAACCCATGACCCCACGATTGTATATATTATTGCACGAACCCGCCAATAGTGGTAATAATAGGACATGCAAAGGGAGTAGACACAAAGACGGAGAGGAAGTGACTAAGAAATTCTTATATATGAATCCGTTGGTTAAAATTATGACAATTAAATATTATTAAATATAAATTAACTTTAACGTTAATGGAAGTAAAAAAAATATAATAAATTAAACAGATATTTTTATTATAAAAATAAATTTATTAAAAATAATGACATGTAATATTTTATTCAATTGATTGAATTGATGCAATTTTTTTAGATAGATTATGATTGAGATGGTGAAGCAAGTCTATCTAAAAATTTTTCTGTTAGTAATCATTCGAACCGGATTTCAAGAAACGTGCATCGTAACACTCATTAGCCGATACTTATAACAGGCAAAGAAAGAATACGAAGCAATTACCAAAAAATCACCAATGACTGCACAAGTCACTTGTTAGGGATGTCATTACTCTCTGCCTCCGTTAGTCCCTTCTACATCTCTCGAAGTTATTCTAATTAACTTTTTCATCCATTAGCCCGTTTAGATTTTGTCTTTACATCTTTTCTTGCACAACTATAGCATAGACCTCAACCCTTTATTGCTTAATTCAATTCTATTTTTATTCCAATCTTAGAACGCATCTTAACGTCTAGGGATGCAATAAGGGGTCTTAGAG